AACATGCCAGGAAAGTACAAATATCCCCCAAATGACCGATTTTTGGAAAGTAGACATTCCAAGCTATTTAGTAAGAGGCATGGTGAATTTTTTTAAGTTATTTTTCCATCAATTCTTGGGAAAATTAAGAAATTATTAATATTTATTTTTAACACAAAATTGTCATATTAACAAGTTATTTCTCACACACGGCATATGCATACTTGCATATACACCCCAAAACACATTCTGCTACTTCTCCTGAGTATGGTGATACTACATGTGTGAGACTTTTTCACAGCCCCACCACATACAGAGGCACAAGTTCCAAGTAGCACTATCAGGTGTTCTAAGGGCAAAAATTACACTTTTAATTTCCTCACTGCCTATCACAATTTGACGGCCCTGGAGCACCAGGAAAATGTAATTACCCATTTTGGAAAGCAAACACCCCAATGTAAATTCTATGCGGTATAATGAGTCTTTTGAACATGTCATTTTATTCCACAAGTTTTTGAAAAATGTGGAAAGAAAATGAAAACATTTTTTATTTTACACAAAGTTGTCAATTTATAAGATATTTCTAACACACAGCATGTACATACCAAGAATTACACCCCAAAATACATTCTGCTGCTTGTCCTGAATATGACAATACCTGTGGTGTGGTGTGATGTGGTGGCTGTGGTGACAGGCTGATGGGCTGCACTGACAGATGCACTGATGGGCTGCACTGACAGATGCACTGATGGGCTGCACTGATAGATCCACTGATGGGCTGTGCACTGATGGGCTGCACTGACAGATGCACTGATGGGCTGCACTGACAGATCCACTGATGGGCTGTGCACTGATGGGATGCGCTGACAAATGCACTGATGAGCTGCACTGACAGATCAACTGATGGCGGCACTGACAGATCTACTGATGGGCTGTGTACTGATGGGCTGCACTGACAGATCCACTGATGGCGGCACTGACAGATCGACTGATGGCAATAGTGACAGATCTACTGATGGTGGCACTGACAGATGCACTGATGGTGGCCCTGACAGAGCCAATGATGGCACTGTCAGATCCACTGATGGCGGCACTGACAGATGCACTGATGGGCTGCACTGACAGATGCACTGATGAGCTGCACTGACAGATCCACTGATGGCGGCACTGACAGATCCACTGATGGCGGTATTGACAGATGCACTGATGGCAGCACTGACAGATGCACTGATGGGCTGCACTGACAGATGCACTGATGGATTGAGCATTTTTATTTTTCCCATATGTCCTAGATGTTTACAGCTAACAAAAAATTAAATCATGTTATGGTCACTGCTACCCAGATGTTCCTTTATGTAGACATTTGTAATAAGCTCTGCATGGTTTGAGATTACCAGGTCTAGCAGAGCATCATTCCTAGTTGGGGCCTCTATGAACTGTACCATAAAATTGTCCTGTAGTAGGTTTATACATTTTTGCCCTTTAACTGTTCCTGCAGTACCATTACTCCGGTCAATTTCAGGATAGTTAAAATCCCCCATTATTATCACTATCCCAGCCCTTGCAGCCCTTTCGATCTGTGCAAGGAGCTGAGTCTCCACCTCCTCATTAACACTGGAAGGCCTATAACAAACTCCAATGATCACCCTTATGTGCAGTTCCACCCATAATGCTTCAGCCTCATCACACTCTCCATCAACTAGGTCCTCTTTCACACTCGCTCTGAGATCACTTCTCACATAGAGACAGACATAGAGACAGACACCACCACCACCTTTCCTTTTTACCCTGTCTCTCCGAAAGTGAACATAGCCAGGAATAGTAATGGCCCAGTCATGTGAAGAATGAAGCCAAGATTCAGCAATACCAAATAAATTATAGTTCTCTTCATGCAACAAAGCTTCCAACTCACTTATTTTGCTTGGCAGACTTCTGGCATTGGTGAACAAACACTTTAATTCATTGACACCTTGTGCACACTTATTTTGCATATTTTTTATTTTCATATAAATTATACCAATTTCATTGGTTGTTTGTAACATAGGAACTTTCTTATCATCTGCCATAGCCCTCCCCACATCCTTCCCCATTCCACCTACCAAAAAGGACTGAACCCTGTCTGGTCTGTCTGCCCCATTATAATCTAATTCTTCCTCCCCCCTCGATCCTAGTTTAAATACTCCTCCAGCCTCCACATAAACCTCTCCCCCAGCACAGCAGACCCCCTTCCCTTATAAATGAGGGTACCCCTTCATTTTGGAGAAGGCTTTGTGGCAGACTTGGCTGGATTTGTGTTCCAAGTCTTGTGCCAAAAGGAAGAGCTGAATTTTGGCTTTTGAAGCTTGAGGAAAGCATTTTGGTGCTCTTTGTTTTGAGGAGGTAGAAGCCCCTGAAGAGGGGGGTTCTGGAGCCTTCTGCTGTAGAAGGATGTTTCCTCCAGTGATACCCTTTATAAACCTGTCAAGCGCCTCAATAAATCCTCCTTCAAAGGACATACGAATGAGCCGCCTTTTGCAGGCAGATTCAGTATATGTGGACAGAAATGAGAGCCATTCTGGAAATTTGTGTCAAGAATTGTTCATAGGCATCAACTCAGAAAAGTGAGGCAGAGGGCAGTGTTTGTAAGTGTTCCACCAGGGTTTGGTCCTTAAAAAAAAAAGGATCTTGTTAAGTGTTCATTGTCCTAGTTCGGGTGTTGGCAACCCGCGGCTCCAGAGCCGCATGCGGCTCTTTTTCACCTTTGCTGCGGCTCCGGAGCACACTGCCCACCAGGTGACAGGCAATAGGGTTGCCGTAGCTCAGTGGTCGGCAAGCCGCGGCTCTTTTAACCTCCCTGGCGGTTTTCCCGAGTGTAGCTCGTGGTAGAATTTCTATACCACGAGCTACACTCGGGCTTACCATGCGGCACTGATCTGGGGGTCCCTGCAGCACTTACCTTGTCCTTCGTTCCCGCGATGTGTCCCCTGCAGCGTCCCCGGCCATCTCCTCCGGCCGATGCCGGCATCCGGCTTCTGTGTTCCAGTCCCCGTGACGTCGGGACGTACGGGCGCCGCCGGCGGCGGGAAATTTAAAAAATGTTTTTTTTTTTTTTCAATTTTCAATAGTAAAACATTGCTGTTTCATCCCATTTCACATACATTTTGTCCCGAGTGCTTTGTCCTGTGCCCTGCCTGCATTTTGTCTGTTCTTTCTGCCTGGAAACTTAGAAAAGTCCATGGCGTCCAAAAAGCGTCCCTTTAGGTCAAAAGCGGTTTTAGACCGGCTAGAGAACAGCGATAGTAAATCAGAACCACTTACAGAATTGAGTGATAATGATTTGTGGGGAAATTTTCCTAAAAATTACAGCCTACAATAAAAAACTATTTCCATGCGAAAAAATGGTACCGCTTTCAGCACAAAAAATCGGAAGGAATCATACCGCCAGGGAGGTTAATGCAGCTCTTCTGTGTGCTGGGCGCCCGCTCCCCTCCCTCCTCTCGGGCGGCCGCCCCAAAAGTCAGGACTCTGCAGCTAGCCTAGCAATGGGCAAACTACGGCCCGGCGGACCTTATAATCCGGCCCGCGGAGCGTGGCAAACATTGGCTGTCAGGATGTAGGCGGGGCAGCGTGACGAACTCCTCTCCTCTCACAGTCCGCCCTGAAGACCAGAACTGCGCGGGAACACGGCGAGAGGAACGCGCGGAGTACAGGTAAGTGAATTGACACAATATGGGAATGAATTACTATAGGGGGGATGAATTACTATAGGGGGGATGAATTACTATATGGGGGATGAATTACTATATGGGGGATGTATTTTCAGTTTTAAAAATGTGGCTCTCAAAATAAATTTAATCGTGGTTTTGGCGAGATTTGGCTCAGTTGAAAAGGTTGCCCACCACTGACCTAAGGCTATGATTGTGATTATGACGATACACTGTGGCCCTGATTAACCCTTTGCTTACTGGGCCCTTAAACCCCCTTCATGACCAGAGCGCTTTTTGCAATATATGCAGTGTCGGATTTGTTTTAAATGTTGCAATGGTTTTGCGGCTCCCAGTCTTTTTTTCCCTCTCGGAAACGGGTCCAAGTGGCTCTTTATGTCTTAAAGGTTGCAGACCCCTGTCCTAGTTCAATTAGCTGTGGTTTGACAAACAGAAGCTGCCGCAAAAGCAAGTTTTAGTGCTGGACCTGCAATAGTAACCTTTAAAAGAGTCTCAAATTTTCCATCTGCAGAATACTTTGAAGGCCTCCTGGTACCCAAAGGAAGAGAGAGGAATCAAATGCAACTATATCAAGGCTTTTCCACAAAGCAGATGTGAGCACATCCACAATGGCAAGCATATTTCTGATGTAAAAGGTGATGGAGAAGGGATATCAACCACAAAGCCACGTGCTGTGTGGAGGCGGGTGTGTCCCTTCCCTTTAATCAACTATCAGAACTCTCCTCACTCCTCTCCCTCTGATTTGTGCTTCTGGGAAAAATCCTTTTTAGCTCTGTTTTTTACAAGGCTGTACAGGACAAATGAAATCTGATAAACAAGTACAACGTATGTGGAAGGATTTGTTTCATCTCTGTGTACCATAGGAGGCTTGTCACTTCACTAGGTACATGTAAGGGTTTTAAACAGGACCTCAGTCTGTCTTTATATTACCCTCCTGCTGTTCAATGCACAGCAAGATTCATACAGGAATATGAATGGACAAGCTGTAATCCAATCAGGCTTTACTAAATTGCGCAGTGCAAAGGGAGCTGGCTGATGGGAGGAAGGAACTCAGACTGACCTCATTAGTCTGATGTTGTGACAATATCAAGATCCTGCATGTGAAAAATACCCTTTAATGACTGTACAACTTAAAGATGATCACTCCACATTTCCATGATGATATTATTACCTTAACTCTATCTGGTCATAATCCTAGTAGAAAACATTATATGAATGGCAACCCTAAACCTTAATCAAAACCCTATATAATACATTTAGTTAAATATGACAATTTTTCACTTTGAGACTGAACAAGTTCTAAGAGTTATCACTTACCTACATTTTGATGAATTTGCTTTTGAGCAACAATGCAGTTTAGCTCCATCAACTCCAGTGGAAGGTGGAGGAGCAATTGTGACCCCAGGATGAGCTGACCTTGAACTTTCTAGAAAACATTGCCAGAGTGGATCCTGAGGCAGAGGCATTGTTTTACAGGCTGCAATTAAGTTATCAACAATCTCAATCTCAGTTCTTTTAGTCATTAGAATTCTTTTGCAAGCTGTTTGACAAGCATGATCCTCAGCTCTGTCACAGCAGTACAGACCTATAAACCAAAAACAAGAATATATGAGAGAGCAGTATATATAAAATTTTTGAGCACGTGTCACAAGATTTTGAAAAATGCAAAGATCTCTCAGTTTGGCCATGAGAAATCCCTGCAGGGCACTGGTGATATAGCCTTCCTAGGGGGCAGCTGATGGCATTGGCTAGGTCACCAGTACCTCAGAATAACAAGAACGATTAGAAAGGCAAGTTAATGGGGAATGTGTCGGAAGGTAGGCAGGACAGAACACACAAAGCGGATGGCAAACACACAAAGCTTTATTAAGACAAAATGACAGTCACTCAATGGAGGGATTGCAGTGAGGGGGACCTCCCCAGTAGGGGAATAGTAAGGAGAGGGCCAAAGTACTTGTAGTCCAGCCCCAAGGCCAAGTTAAGGTCTCTGCAGACAGTTTGTAATCCAACAGTTAGGCAGAAGAACAGTTCAAGAACAGTTCAGGCAAAACAGGGGAAGCATGTACTTATGGATCCAACAGGGTGCCCGGTCTCCCAGGGGACAAGATAGTATGACACAGGTACCTGCTGGAGCCCGGAGTATGCGTGTTGTCTCTCCCTTGGCTGGGGTCTCAGGCAGGGCTGGCGTGCGGTCTCCCCTCTGGCTGGGGTCTCAGGCAGGGCTGGCGTGTGGTCTCCCCTATGGCTGGGTTATCAGGCAGGGCTGGCGTGCGGTCTCCCCTCTGGCTGGGGTCTCAGGCAGGGCTAGTGTGCGGTCTCCCCCTTGGCTGATGTCTCAGGCAGAGTTTAGCCACGAGGGTCCTGTCGCAGCTGGGCTCCCTCGATAACTGCGCAGCAGAAAAGGATGAATGGGGAGAGCCCAGCACCGGCCACTTAAATCGGTGTAGGATGCTTCCCGGTCACCCTGGGCGGCGGGCCTCATTGCTCGGTAATGAGGCTCGGCTTCAAAGAGCCGAGGCAGGACGAGAAATAGCAGGGGGGCGGTCCTCCTGAAAGAAGGGGGAAGAAGTTTGGGCTAGAATACACAAACGACAGAGAGGAAATTGTTAACGAAGTTTGGGCTAGAATACATAAAGGACAGAGAGGAAATTGTTAACGAAGTTTGGGCTAGAATACACACACGACAGAGAGGAAATTGTTAACGAAGTTTGGGCTAGAATACACAAACGACAGAGGAAATTGTCTAAAGAAGTTTGGGTTGGAATGCATCATTGCAGGGGAGGAAAGGCATTAATTGAATTTGGGAACATAAAGCAGGATGACAGTGGAGGAAATATATTGATTGACTTTGGGAACATTTGGGCAGGATGACAGGGGGGGAATGCATTGATTGAAGTTGGAAACATTTGGCACAAGAACGTAAGGAATTAATTAAGGATGTACTTAATTTGGGCACAAGGAATTAAGTATGGGATTAAGGAAGAAATTAATAATTGGGGCTGGCAGAGCACCTATATTGTGACAGGAAAGTTTAGTCAAAATCTAACCTTGTAAAGAAAAGATCTGTATACTTACTTATTCTGAAGCCATTCTTCTCTGCAGTTAAACATAAGATTGCAAGGAAAAACCTAGTATAACATAACGGAGAAGTACAGGCAAAGTTCATTTGGCTGTACTTCTCCTGTGGATCACAGGAGTGCAGTTCGTTCTGTACAACTGTGACCCATTTTCAGCTAACAGTGGGCTAAAGCCAGCTGACATAACAGAGCTGGCCCAGGCTTGGGAAAGATCGTGACCATATGGTTGGGTTCTACCCAGGAGTCTTGACCGTCACCTGGTTCAGCCTCTCAGTGAGCTGCTGAGAGCCTGAGCCAGCCTCTCCCGCCGCCTGAAAAGCCTTGTGTTACAGTGAGTGCTGGGGGTGGCAGAGCAGAGAGCGGTGACTGACAGTCATGACTCTGCTCAGAGCGGCAGGGAGAACTGCACAATCAGTAGTGTCTAATTGTTAACTTCTCACTCTTAGAGTTGGTGGGGGACAGATGCAGGATTGGATCGAAGCTTCATCGACCTAGGTAAGCATGAGTTTAAAAAAACTCTTTATTTTTTTAAAACTGTATGTGGAAAAAAATTGTATTTTACACTTTTGTTTGATGTACATGTTTAGATCAGTGGGTGCAATTTACTGTTATCTATTTTTCACTTTTATATTGGGTAAGTAATGGGCATATAGTGCTATATATTGATCAAATAATTTTTTTTTATATAGAAGCTTCTAAAATATTTTCAGTGGAGGGTAGCATGGAGTAATTTAGAGTGTTTTAGAAATATAATGTAACTTTTTAAGATTAAAAAATTTGGGGTGGTGGTGTGGCTTGCCATAATCACACATGTACATGTAAAGGTGAATGTAACCTGCAACAAATGCAGAATCATTAATAAACTCTTAAGCTGTAAGACTTCAAAATCCTCCAGATCATCACAAAGGGGTCTAAAGTCATCAGTACACTGGGGCAGAAGAGAATTTGGGAGGCACCTGCACAGGCTTTCAGGGAGTTGCAGCAAAGAGCTAAAGGGAATTATACAGAGCTGCAGGAGGAAGAGGGCACTTCTACATCAGAGAGGATTTCACAGACACAAATAAGCAAGCAAGCAAGCAAAAGGCATTTCACTCAATAAATATCCATAAAAAAAAGATAATCCTTTTTTCCTCTTCCATTAAAGTGGTTATTAAAGAAGAATTAGCCGACATAAAAACCAACATGCATGCTTTTCTAAAAAAAAAAAAAAATCACACTATATAGAGAGAACAATTAAACTGCTAATACATGCTGATCACATGCAGAAAAAAATGTGAGACATGAAAAAAAAAATGATCAGATGAAAGCGCACATTCACGAGCTAAAGAATCCAATTGAGAAAACACATACAAGAGTAAGCGGTATCCCTTACAAGCTCCCCCTATGCAGCTTTATAGCAACAGATCTCTCCTAATAGTGATCTATTGATGGCTGCAGTCACTTTTAGCAGTAATCCGCTGTTTCAGGGGAAGACAGGACAGGGCTGCATGAGCTCCACCTGAACATCCATGACCGAATTGTCACTTGTGATGTCACTTTACTTCTAGTTTACGTACAATGCAAAAGCAATGCCTGCTACAGAGCACTCCTATGATGAGTCTGTAGAATGATTGGAAGCCCCAGAGATCATTATTTAATCTTCTGAGATTAGCGCTGGACTCTGGTTGTCAGTGACAGACAGCAGTACCAGCAATACAGCTGGCTGGTACCTGCAGTAGGTGCCAAGCCCTGGTGCCATTTTATAACAGAGTTGGGACAAAAGGTCTCTGTCCCAATGCTATTTTAAAACAGCACCCAAGACCCAGGTGATTGATAACATTGTGAATAGGGATAAAAACATCAAATCTGACAGGCAGTAGCATAGGCACAAAGTAACAAAACCAAAATGCATTCCTCAAAGGAAAGCTAAAGACATACTCTGTTGTTTAAATGACTTTGAAAGAAGGTATTCTGATGAAGCTTAGATCTGTTCAGTGTTTGGAATATGAGTATCAACCGTAACATAGGGATTGCAGCAACTGTGAGCCATATAGAGCCAGAAGCCATTACTCCCTATGTCTGATATCTTGAGGCATTACGGAGTATGTAGCTACAAAAAAGAGTAATGCCAGCATCTACCCATGATAGATCACTGATGTGCATTTAATTTTGTCCTGTACAGTATATATCTGATGAATGCGCTTCTATTCTACCTGTCATGAACTACTCCTGGAGATGATCTTGTTAATCTTCTGTTTCATTTAAAATATATACATTTCTTTATGGAAAAAAAAAAGAATATGAGTATCAAAAACTTCATTTTACAGGACATGTCTAAGTATACCACAGACAAAGAAGACAACTGCTACCACTAACAAAACTACTGAAAAAAAAGACATTACTTACAAATGGCTATTTCCTTTTGGCCTATTTGACCTACTGAATTTAATTTTCAAGGGCTATCCTTTCCTAATCCATAAAAATCTGCTAACGATAGGGAATTCCTATTTGCTAAATTTAGATTAAGATGTAACAGATATCAAATTGTTATTGTTTATTTTATTTTTAAGTAATGCTATCTACCCTTGATAAATTGGATCACCCTCCTGTTAAGAAATATTTTAATAAAAACATAAAAGTTTTATTTATCCATAGTTTTTAGTTAAAGGAATAATATTGTCTTCATTAACAACTTAGACTACTTAATGTTTCAGGTTATTTGCTTCAATATAAGGAATTGAACACTAGGTCTGTTGTATTATGTACTACCTCACAGTTTTGTGTTTCAGAATTAAGAGAAATACAATTTAAGTCTGCTCTTTTACAGCCTCCCATAAGCTCCTCTATATTCCAACCATTTTTTAACGAGTTTCAATGTAAAAAATGTTTTTGTTTACAGTAGTTTTGTCTCTTTCGATACTTTGTACTGTATTTTCCTATCCTCAAAGGATTACTTATCAAGATATATTTCATTAATCTAACAGAACACTGTCAATGTTTAACCCAGGTCCAAACTGATCTCTAAAAAATGTTTTAAATGAGAAGTTTACATTTTTGGAAAAATTAAAAAAAATGTGCATTTATAATTTTTTCCCTAAGGAGCCTGGAAAGCAATGCACCCATGATCAGTGGATCAGGGGTTCAATGCCAGACATCAGCAGTCAAACCCTGCAGCTTTCAATCTGTACCTTCATATGGGCTGACTACGTATTTACGAGCTGTAGGGCTTGTGCATGAACTACAAGGCTGTTCTTCAGCAAACTCACAGTCCATTCAGTACTGCAAGCCATCAGCCGCAAAGGCTGATGGTAGTTGTAGTTTGTGCATTCACAGGAAACTGTGAATGAATGGCATGGCTGTGTGGGCAGAGCCCCACATGGCCACTCTTTTTCACT